TTTTTTTATTACTGTACTGTAATGCTTTTCTTCTGCAGGGACTTGTGTACTTTTAAAAAAAACTGTATTATTGTGTTTTTATTTTCAAGAAGTTAATGTTTATATCAAAAAGGATATTTTGATGGTGTGGTGAGGCAGTATAATGTAAAGGAGTTAAGGAGATCTGGTTTTGATTTAACTTTACTATTTAATGACTTTAAGGAAGTTACCTAACTTCTAAAGACTCTTTTCCTTATTTAAAACATGGTGACAAAAATATTTACTCCTCAGAGTTGTTTTGAGAGTTAAATATTATATAGCACTGATAAGCAATTAGTATGTTATTTTTATTAGGTAAAGGTCATGGCTGCCACTTTAGGAATCTTTACCCATTTAAAAAGACTATAAAAGGTTTGATGAATTCTTCAGTTAATTTTATATAATATTATAATAGTAATTAAAAATGTTTTTTAACTATTAGAAGCAACTATGTGCTTTTCAATTTCGGGCTTCCATAGCCCATAGATAGGGAGGAGGAGGCTTTTCTGTGATGAACTTTGTGGGATTATTTGCTTTTAAACTTTGCACTTATATATCTTTAGTTAAAAACAAGTGGAATAAAAACAAACCACAGCAGTACAGAAGTCAAATGAGACACAAATTAGTGGATCAGGGATAAATGCTCAAAAAATGGTTCTGGGCAATTGGTATATGGAAATATACTGAGAAATATCTGGGAAATATTATATATGGGGAAAATTAAGTTAGATCCATGCAACAAATACAAAAATAACTTCCAACTTGATTGAAGATCAGAATAGTAAGAGCCAAACTGTACATCCTTTGAAGAAAGTTAGAGATTATCTTTACAATCTTGAGTTAAGAATAAAAAGCACAAATCACAAGGAAAACAATAACATTTTTTTTAATAGATCTTTATTGGAGTATAATTGCTTCACAATACTATGTTAGTTTCTGTTGCAAAGCACAGCGAATCAGCCATGCACATACACATGTCCCCATATCTTGTCCCTCTTGAGCCTCCCTCCCATCCTCCCTATCGCATCCCTTTAGGACATCGCAAAGCACTGAGCCGATATCCCTGTGCTATGCTGCTTCTTCCCAGCAGCCAACTATTTTACATTCGGTAGTGTATGTATGTAGATGCTGCTCTCACTTTGTCCCAGCTTTGCCCTTCCACCCCATGTCCTCAAGTCCATTTTCTATGTCTACCTCTTTATTCCTGCCCTGCAACTAGGTTCATCAGTACCATTTTTTTTTTTTTTAGATTCTGTATATATGCGTTTGTGTATGGTATTTGCTTTTCTCTTTCTGACTTACTTCACTCTGTGTGACAGACTCTAGGTTCATCCACCTCACTACAAATAACTCAATTTCATTTCTTTTTATGGCTGAGTAATATTCCATTGTATATATGTGCCACATCTTCTTTATCCATTCATCTGTCAGGCATTTAGCTTGGTTCCACGTCCAGGCTATTGTAAATAGTGCTGCAGTGAACATTGTGGTACATGTCTCTTTTTGAATTATGGCAGAAAACAATAAATTTGACCAAGTTAATGTACAGGCTTTTTGATGAAGATATAGTTCTCCAAAGAAGATATACAAATATCCCAATAAGGACATAAAAAGACGCCCAACATCACTAATCATTAGGGAATTGCAAATCAAAACCACAGTGAGATACCACTCACACCCATTAGGATGGCTATTATCAAGAAATAGAAAACAACAAATGTTGACCAGGATGTGGAGAAATTGGAACCCTTGTGCACTGCTAGGGGGAATGTAAAATGGTGTGGCCACTATAGGACAGAGTATAGAGGTTCCTCAAAAAGTTAAACATAATTACCATATGATCCAGCAGTTCTACTTCTGGGTATACACACAAGAGAATTGAAATCAGGGGCAGGAACAGATATCTGTACACCCATGTTCCTAGCAGCATTATTCACAGTAGCCAAAATCTGGAAACAACCTACGTATCCATATATGGATGAATGGATAAAGAAAGTGTCGTACATACATACAATGGAAATTATTCAGGGTTTAAAAAGGAAGGAAATTCTGACACATGCTACAGCACAGATGAACTTTGAATACATGCTTAGGGAAATAAGCCAGTCACAAAAGGACAAATACTGTACGAATTCATTCATTTGAGGTGCTTAGAATAGTCAAATTTATAGCCAAAAAAGTAGAGTAGTGGTTACCATGGGCTGCGGAGAGAAGGGAATGGGTGGTTATTATTTAATGGGTACAGAGTTTTAGTTTTGCAAGATGAAGGAAGCCCTGGAGATGGATGGTGATGATGGTGCACAACAATGCGAATGTACTTAATGTCACTGAACTGTTCACTTAAAAATGGTTAAAAAACCAAAAAAAAAAAAAAAACTCAATAGGTTGAACAAAATAAGCAAGGTGGAGAAGAATCCATAGTTTGATACCATTTATATTGTTTTATAAACTACAAAAATACTCTATATAGATCATAGATATGGGAACATTGATAAAACAATATAGGATAGTGGTTGTGTCCAAAGACAGAAGACATAAAGCAGTTGAATTTGAGAGGGAGTACACAGGGAGCCTCAATCATATCTGTAATATTTTCTTTCTTTAGCAAATCTACAGTAAACGTGGTAAAATATTGGGTTTGACAGATCTGGGTAGTGGTATATGGTGTTTATAATACCATTCTTTAGACTATTCTGTGTACTTAAAAATTTTCTTTTTCCCTAAAGAGAGTATAGAGTTACAAGAAATCTTCAAAAGGCCTAATTTTTAGTAAATGCTGGCCTTTATTCTCTCAGCTCTTTTTCCTGATTCACTTCTTAGATGGGTTTTCTGAGCATTTTCCCTGGTTCTCATTTTGGAAATCAGCTTTTCTTCCCTTCTTCTGCTGATTTGTTTTGGACGCTGGCCGAATTACTTATTCTTTAGTCCTAGATAGGGTCAGATTGTTGGGTCACTTTCTTTTCTGGATTCCAGATGTCCCAAAGATGACCTTGAAGATGATTCTTCTTTGGAGATTTTTATAATAAACTGGTTTCTGGAAGTCCTAATTTCTGGAAGTCCTACTCTTTGATCTGACTCTTTTCTGTTTCATTTCTTTGACGCACATTCAGGTTTCTAATTCTGTTGCTGGAATACTGTATTCAACACACAATTTATGAATCAGTGGCCATGTGGGGTGTGTGTGTGTGTGTGTGTTGGGTTTTGGTGGAATGATTAAAATCTGTCTGCCCTAACTCATTATCTATCTCTAACATTTTCATCTCTTTCTTTGTCAAAGTCTGTACCTTTTACAGGTCACCCCTTCTCTCCAAATGGGAATTATCTTTCAGAATCCATTCAATATACTTTTATAACATCAGGCATTCATAAACATAATTTATAGAAAAACAAAGGTAATCTAATGGGCCTTAAGGACATTGCTTAACTTCTCCTAGGTCTCCTTTTTCATTTCTGGCATATGGTGATACCTACTCAATCAATCTCACTGGATTCTTATACAGACTATTTTAAGTTATATAGATGAAAGCACTTTGGAAGTTTTATATTACTGCATGCATATAAATGTACACCTAAGAAATGTACATTTCTTAAGTGAACTCTAATGCATAAAATTGGTAGACTATGAATATTATGTGTAAGCCTTTATAATAGTAGTTCTCAAAATGTGATCTTCAGAGCCTTGGCTCCTGGGAATGTTAATAGGTGTTATGTGAAAAGTGCTTCTATGGATAAAACATTGGGAAAACACTGGGTTTAGTAAAGTTAGGCTTCTATGCTTTTGTACTCTCTCTTTTGAGAGTAGTTAATAGGTTCATGTACTTTGTGAACTGTAGAGAGAGATTATATCAACTAAGGAATACCCCTTTCGGGGCAGATTTGTGAACCTCAGAATACACTGAGAGAGTGGGAGATATAATTCAAGATATATTTTATTGCTCTCAGTCTTCCAGTTTAATGTTCTAAACTATGGTTTTCGTTTTTGTGATTCCTTTGATCTTTACTAGTAATAATATTGAATTAAAGCCAAATTTATTATTTCATTTCTAGTGTAATAGGCATGATTGCTTATATAAGAAAACAAGTAATTCATTACAACTAATTGTATTTGAGATTATTTTCTTGTTTCAGAAGGGCTTCTAAGTTACCAAAAAATGAAATAAATTTGTTTTAAACTTTGTTACATCTATGTGCTTGTATTAAATACCAAGGCCTGCTTTTAGATATGCCATGTCTAAGAGGATAAAATCTAAAACACTGTCCTGAGAATGTTTCTAGTCACTGAATACTGAATTATTTGACATTTCAAAATCTCTATTAATATATGTGTCAATTCTGACGCTATATTTAAATGATAAACAGTTTTCTTTAATCATTTTTCTTTCCATAGGCTTTATGTAGCTCATGAATTATTTAGGTTTCTTTTTTTCACTTTTTTCTATTTTTTGCAACTAAAGCTCTTCTCCTTTACATAAAATGAAAACTATTCCTTTGAAATATCGAATCATTAAACTGATTTAAATATTTTATTTTGATGATTCCATTTTTAGGCATTCTCTCATTGAGTATTATATATTCCATTTAATTTTGCATGCATGCATGTAAAATTTGATTTAATGATTTAACTTTCTGATGGGTTTGCCCAATATTGACATTCATGAATTTTACTATATGATTCTTGGTTTATTTAATAAAATATGTCATTGAAATTACCCTCCAATGTAAAGTTCATCTAATTTTTTTCCTTTGATTTCCTTTATTCTCATACATGTAAAATTATTTGTGAGAATTTTAGGCAGAAGTTATTTTTATCTAAGGAATAATGCTAGTTGAGTAATGATACTAAATTGTAGGTCATGGAAAATTAATGAAAGGCTTCCTAATTTTAAGTATTGTATCTTTATTTGGCCAATGATTATTTTATAGTATTTGTCTTAAATAGTTTTTTTTTTTCACTTTTTGTTTTGCTGTTTTCATTTTCCTAGCTTGTGATGAATGGAAAATATTACCGAAACCAAACCTTCATAGAGATGTCAACAGATTTGGACACTCTGCAGTTGTCATTAATGGGTAAAAGAAGCACATTTATCAGTCATACTACCCACATATTTTGTTATTCTTTAAAACAATTATTGTTTGTACTTAACGGATTGGATTTTATATATCCCTGTAATACCGCGGAACGAATTTTGCTTCATTAACCATATCCTTTATTTCTTTTTTGTTTAAATTTATTTAAGGGGCAGGGGAGTATCAAAGGAAAGGTGCTGAGATAGAACTTCAGATACTCTTTTAAAAAGTCATCCTGCCTTCTTTCCTTTTTCCAGAGATCATTAATGACTTCCTTATAAAAGATCAGTCTGAAGTGATAGAAAGGCTAGCCACATATTTCTTCTGAGGAGAGCAAAGGAAGTGAGAAGAATTAGATTCTCATTTTGGTTCTGTCATAACTGAATGTGTGACTTTTGACAAATCTCTTAACCTCTCTGGCCTTTAAGACTGTTCTATCCAGTGGGAATTTGTACTGGATGATCATTAAGTTACCTTCATCCTTTATTATGATTTTGCTATTTCTATAGCAAAAGTTCGTTAATGTGGACTTGTGACAGTAAACAATATGCTAGATCATTCCTTAGCTTAAAATTTGTAATTCATGATGACATTTTTCATAAGTTCATTTTATTACTACCTTATTCTAATTATGTAAAAATTCTCCAGTATAATACTAAAAGTAGTCAGAACTTAATCACAATGAAGCTGTGTAACTGATATCGGTTAGCTTTTGAAACTGAAATAAATGAAATTCAGAGTGTAAACATAAAACCTCTAGGCTTCTCTGTTGAAAACGGCATTTGGTTGATTTTTATTTTACTTTTTTTAAATAATAAAAGATATTCTTGAAGGATTTTCGGATCTTTTCCCTTTATTGTGTTAATAATATTTTTAGAAACAAAAATTAGGCTGTTTTGAGGGCATGCCAATTTTTTTGGCATTGGTAGTATTAATTCAGTAATCATCTGGGCTTTTCAAATTGAAACTTTGAAAATCTTTTTGATAATTTTACTCTTGGTCTTTTTATTTTACAAGAGGATAGTAAAACACTATATGAAGAACTCTATATCTAATTTCTAAGTTCTTTGTATTCAAAAATTATAATTCTATATAGCAATTCTAAAGTGTATCTTATTGTCTAAAGTATATCTTATTATAGTATATACAGCTACTATATATTTCTAAAAAATTGTTTCCTAACTAGATAAGATAATGTAAAATGTGTATTTAAATTTATTTTTAAAACTAACACATTAGACAGAGACTTTTCTTAATATTGTTCCTTTAAGATTCTTATTTTGTCTCTAATAGGTCCATGTATATATTTGGAGGATTTTCTAGTGTACTCCTTAATGATATACTTGTATACAAGCCTCCAAATTGCAAGGCTTTCAGAGATGAAGAACTTTGTAAAAATGCTGGTCCAGGGATAAAATGTATTTGGAATAAAAATCACTGTGAATCTTGGGAGTCTGGGAATACTAATAATATTCTTAGAGCAAAGTGCCCTCTGAAAACAGGTAAAAATTTTTTTTCTTTCTTATATTTGGAACAAAGCTTCTTTATTTGGCTAGAAATGGAAATGCATTCTGCTTGTAAGAATTACCTTAGGAGCTTTCAGAAATTAAAAACTCATAATCCTCTAATTAGGAATTCTAATGTTTGAATTTAGCAGTGATTAGTAATTTAATATCTTTATTAGCTATTTTTAGTTTTCTTTTTTGAATTCTGTATGTAATATTTATATATCAATTTGTATATGTAACATGGCCATATATATGAATTATTTTCATATGTAAGTAAAAAATGCTTTCAAATACACCCTGTCTAAGATATACTGTATGCTTCAAAGAAAAAAAATGAAGTAATTTATTCTGCATTTGGTAGTTTTTTTTTTTCTGAATTATTGCCAAGGCAGACCATAAAGTTAAAAATTTTCTAGAATTTTGATGAGTTTTGTTATAATTTAATATTTCTTATAAAATATTGAATAAATAAATCAAACTTATGAATAATTACTAGTAAATATTTATGAGGAATGATTTGGATAAAAATTGTTCAATTTTCTTTAAATGAGTGGGGCTCTTATACATTTTTGGTGCTACAATTAACAAGTCAAGTTTTGCTAATCTATAATAAGTCATGTCTCTAAATATCTTTATGAAGAATAATAAGCAATGAGTATTTGTTATAATGTTTTCTTTTAGATATATAGTAGTACATTTTGTTTAGTAAAATACCTCTAAATCTTTTTCTCCCTCCATAATGTGTAAATTTTATTTAATTAATTAATTAATTAATTAATTTTAATGTGTAAATTTTAAATGGCTGTAGGATCCTAGTAGACTGAATAAAGATGAGTCTAAGAGGTATCTAAATCCCTTTAAATCTAATTAAATTACAAAATTGAGTTCATATTGAAGAATTTATTTTGATATTGATGGTTATATTTATGGTTTAAAAATGTCTTAGTGATTCTTAACAGGTGTTAAAAATATGTGAATTAAGACGTGTGACATTTTCTTTTTCATCCTGATATGTTCTCTCATTTGTATCACAGCTGCTTCTGATGACAGATGTTACAGATACGCAGATTGTGCCAGCTGTACTGCCAATACAAATGGGTGCCAGTGGTGCGATGACAAGAAATGCATTTCATCAAACAGTAACTGCAGTATGGTTAGTATTTACGGGTAAATGATGTTGTAGCTAACATGCTACTTCATAATCGTTACGGGTAAATGATGTTGTAGCTAACATGCTACTTCATATGCTACTTCATAATCGTACTTCATTTAGTACCACTGTACAAAATAGCACTTTCCTTATCAAGATATTTAGACTAGGGAAGGGGGAAGGGCGAAATAGGAGTATGAGATTAAGAGATACAAACTACTATGTATAAAATTGATAAGCAACAAGGATATATTGTCCAGCACAGGGAGTTATAGCCATTGTTTTGTAAGAATGTTAAATGGAGTATATAATCTTTAAGAATGTTGAATCACTATGTTGCACACCTGAAGCTAATTCAATATGGTAAACCAACTATACTTCAAAAAAAAAAAGACATTTAGAAAGTATGTAGGAAATCACCTACTTCCTGGTATGTTGTAAATTCAGCCTGTAGTTCCTTGCACATATTTGTCAGTCTAGATTCCATTTTGAATCTGGAAACTTTTACTTCTTTTCATAAATAAGGTTGGGAAAATCCTTTCAAAAATTGTTTTTAAGAAAAGACTGTAGCTATAAACATTATCTTCTGTGCTGATGAAAATAGGATTATATAAGGGTTATATTTATATAAGTAATTTCCGTGAGATTCTTGTCAGACATGCATTAATAGTGGTGTGGTTTAGGTTTTGTTTATACACTTTGTGTGCAAGTTTAATCTGAAGTATTGACAGTGGTAGTTTTCCTTTTATCTGTCTTTAGATCTTTGGTTCTCTGAGGCAATATTGTCCCCCGGAGGGACATTTGGCAATGCGTATTTTTTGGGTTGTCACAACTGTGGGGCTGCTACTGGAATCTACTATGGAGAAAGCCAGGGATGCTGCTAAACATCCTACAGTGAATGAACAACCCTCCCGCAAAAAATAATTATCTGGCTCAAAATTTCACTAGTGATGAGGTTGAGAACCCTATTATAGATAAGAGTATTGAAAAAATTATAAAATTAGTATTGATGCTAGATTAAAACGGATTAAGAGCAGCAAAAATTAAGCTTTTAAGTGGGTTGCATCAAAATGTCCCATATTTTTTAGAGGATGTCAACAAGTTGAAGGAAAAAAATTTTTAAAGTATTAACAATTATGTTTAGTAGGGTTAAAGATTCTCTTATTGGAGTATAGCCTAAATAACTAAATAGTGTGCAGACAGATTTTCAACTAAATACATATTATTTTTTCTTTTTCTGAATTTTTATTAATCAAGAAAACTATCCACTTGTTTTTCAAGATACCAGGCAGAAGTAAAAGGTAAAGAAAAGGGAATTTGAAAACTAAGTAAAAAGTTTTTATTTTATCATCTAAAATTTTTCTTTAGTAACCAGTCATATTTCAAAATAGTTGTATGATTCTATTCTAAAATAATATTTAAAACTTAAAATGAAGGAAAATATTGAATTATTGACTAATCAGATTGAACCCTTTTGTTTTCATACATACTGTATTGGTGTATACTTTTCAGTGATATGAATTGCTGTAATGATAATAGATACCTCAATTTTATTTGAGTTTTAATGTTAATATGACATGACTCACTTTGAAAATTTGAATTATTTTTTATACTTGCATAATATTCATCTAATGGGAGTTACATTAGTGAATAATGTGGAAGTAGGAGCTAAGTAAAATAAAATATAGGAATAAGGGACTAAAATGGAGAACGTTATTAGATAAAAATTGCAAGCAGATTTTACTTAAAAATTTGTTCAGTAACTGAGTTAATTTGTGTTTAGACATTTACACTATATGAAAATACACATATCTCAAAAATTGTACTATGCAAATTGTTATCAAGTGTTCATTTTTAAAAGTGGCCTTTTGCTTTAGAGTTATTTTTGATAATGATGTCTTAACAAGGAAAGTACTGGGTGAGATAGTATAAGTGAGCAGATGGTACTCACTTGTAATTTAGACTTTGATGTAACGTGTCTTTTGGACGGTTTTATCAGAGTGTCTGATGATTAAGCTAAACCAAATGCTAATGGATACAGAAAGGTTATGAGATTTTAGCGTAAATGATGTCCACTGAGATTCTATTTCATTATTTAGTCTTAGTTACTGCAAGTTGCATATTTTGTGCTCTAATAGCTCCAATAACCTTACTTCTTACAGATTTTCATTTTAAATTTACATCTAAATATAGTAGGATGAAGATGAGTAGAGTAATGATTATGTTTCACAGTCTGTTTACTAATGTGCATCTGGTTCATTAGGCCAAAAAATGCCAGCCATGTTTCAAAGTAACAGTCAGCTTTCTTCCATCATTGAATAAATTGGCCCTGTGTGTGACTGAAATATAATTTCATCTTTTGTACTGTTTCAGTATCAATAAATGATTATACTGTTCTTTTTTTTTAAAAAATAAATTTATTTTTGGCTGCAGTCGGTCTTGATTGCTGTGCGCAGGCTTTCTCTAGTTGCGGCGAGCAGTGGCTACTCTTTGTTGCGCTGCGTGTGCTTCTCATTGCAGTGGCTTCTCTTGTTGCAGAGCACGGGCTCTGGGTGCACGGGCTTCAGTAGTTGTGGCATGCAGGCTTATTAGTTGTGGCTCACGGGCTAAGAGCGCAGGCTCGGTAGTTGTGGTGCACGGGCTTAGTTGCTCCGTGGCATGTGGGATCTTCCTGGACCAGGGCTTGAACCTGTGTCCCCTGCATTGGCAGGCGGATTCTTAACCACTACGCCACCAGGGAAGTCCCAATTATACCGTTCTTAATGAAGAGCAGTTGAGTTATTTGGATGGTGACTCTGATGTTACCATTGTTATTCTAAAGATTGGCATTAAGCTGTTATTCTTTCTCTTATTCTAACATGTTGTTTAGCCATTCTCTTGTCTTTTTTATAGGTTATTTTATTTATCAGATGATTCAAGTAAATTTATTTTTAGTTAGTTAACAGATGTTTGGAACTATAATAATTGTATAGAATAATACTAAGATTTATATACTATATGAGAACAAAAAGCTATGAATCAGAAAAACAACATTAAGAAAATTTATATGTTCTTAATGAAAGCGTGATGGTTGAATAAGAGTTGCAATGTAATTTGGGTTTTAAAAAAATATTTCTTCTGCGATTATTTTAGGATGAGTAAGATAAACATTAGTATCTATGTACTTTTTTTCTTTTTCTTTTTTCTTTTTGCGGTACGTGGGCCTCTCACTGTTGTGGCCTCTCAGGTTGTGGAGCACAGGCTCCGGACGCGCAGCCTCAGCGGCCATGGCTCACGGGCCCAGCCGCTCCGCGGCATGTGGGATCTTCCCAGACCGGGGCACGAACCCGTGTCCCCTGCATTGGCAGGCGGACTCCCAATCACTGCGCCACCAGGGAAGCCCCTATCTATGTACTTTTAATCTGTGACCTTATGGTATATGCTAATTTGCTCTAAAGAAATTAACATCTTTGAAATGGAGGTGACCGCAATGTATTTTATGTTGGAAAGTATAGTAGTTTATAAATAAATATTTGATGAGTGACATTTTAAAGTATATATTTAAGAGGATAAAAATTGCTTCAACCATTTTTATATATGGGCGAGTTATAAGCAAATTTTAACTGTTAAGTTTTTTGGTTGAAAAGAACTATTTAACACCCTTACATGAGAAAGCCTGAGGTAAGTATGTCTGCCTACTGAAATAAAAGGGGCCTCAGGGTGCAGCATGTGTTTTTTCCTTTTTGTTTTTTTTCTCAAAAAAGAGTAACAGGAAGAGTTGAGCCCAAAATTTTAGAATTTGATTTTCATTATCATAGATGCTAAAAATATTATGTGAAATATTGAAACTTGGTATATGCAAGGAACTCACACCAAAGTTTCTATGTTGCCTTTTTTTTCTTTTTTAACCTTTAACCTTTTGGAGCTGGAATTAGTTGAAATATGATAGTTGTATAATAGGACTGATCAAAATGTAACTTTTGCAGATTCTTTTCAACCTCCATTATGGAAATGTGACAGATACATACAGGAGAAACATCAATTAACCAAAACCATTATTTAATGTCTGTGGAAGTAAAATTAGTTTGAGTTATTGAGAAAATAATTTATCTTTTTAGATTTTATTGGATTTTGATAAAACATCTCTTTAAGTTTTTCTACTCATCGTTTCTACTTCATTCCCAAGGGTCTGTATGATAGTTTTATTATGACTAGAATTCTTTCATGTGATCATTGAGAGAAATGACTTTGTGCATTGGCTTTATTTATTGAATTGGAAACCTGTTATCAGATTCAATAGAATAGGTTTTCATTACATGGTTTCTGTTTCAAATTGTGTAATTTGCACGTTTTTCCAGTAAGCACACATTCTAATTCGAAGAACTTTGTTTAAATAAAGAAATGGGTAAGAGAAATTCTGATTCAGTACAACTGGATTTGGTGTTAGAAATCTGTGTTGTAAAGCTCACCAGGTGACTTATATGTACACTGAAGTTTGAGTCATTGCTGTACAAAGGTGAAAAATAACATACTTTATCTTTTAATTTTCTAGTCTGTGAAAAACTATACCAAATGTCATGTGAGAAATGAGCAGATTTGTAACAAACTTACCAGCTGTAAAAGCTGTTCACTAAACTTGAATTGTCAGTGGGATCAGAGACAACAAGAGTGCCAGGCTTTACCAGGTAAAGATTTCAATTTGGTAAATGAGTTTTATAGTCCACAGATGAATGCCATTATAGTAAAGAACATTTAGTAAGAACATTCCATTTTCTAAAATTAAATCAGTAGCAAATAAACAATAATATTGGAGTAATGATAGCAGTGTTTCTACAAGAAAAGTTTGTATGTTCATTTCTAATTCTTTTAAGATGTTCAAGGTTTCTTGTATTTATTATGCTATTGACTTGATCAGAATACTGTTCAATTAAAAAATTATGTCTTAAAAACATAGAAAATAAAAAGTATTCAGACTAGTATCCAGATCTAGCAATGTAAACATTTTAGCATATTGGATTTATTTTTTAAGTGCCCTTTATTTTTTAAATTTCAGGAACTGTTTTTTACTGACTGCTTTTTTGTTACAAATTGAAACATTTATAGTAATTGTTATATGATTTAATGAGAATCTAAGTTCTGCAAACCAGAGCAAAACTCATTTTATTTATTTTTAAAAAAATAAATAATTAGGTTGTGCCAGGTCTTAGTTGTGGCAGGCAGCCTCCTTAGTTGTGTCTTGCCAGCTCCTTAGTTGCAGCATGTGTACTCCTTAGTTGCGGCTTGCCAGCTCCTTAGTTGTGGCATGTGAACTCTTAGTTGCGGCATGCATATGGGATCTAGTTCCCGGGCCCCCTGCATTGGAAGTGTGGGGTCTTAACAACTGTGCCACCAGGGAAGTCCCAAAACTCATTTTAAAAAGAAATTTCAATTTAATTTTTATAGCTAACACTCTTCTTAGTGGACCCTAAGTACTCTTTCTTTCAAATATGAAAGAGAAAAGCAGAAAATTGAAAACTTGTAAAGATATTTAACCAGTTCCATTTTCTTATTATACAGATAAGCTGAGACACACTGGTTATGTGACTTGCTTAAAAGTGCCTGACTTGTAAATGGCAGAGGGGACTAATAACTGGGAGTTCTATTACTTTTCAGTTTTTTTGCCTGTTTCTATATCATGATTTTTTTTTAAAAATTCTTTCATAGAAAAATTTTCTGAACCTATGTAGTTCTAGAAAGTGTTGGAAAATTCCATCACAGGATTTAAGTCTTTCTTATATAAGTTCATGTAAGAAAATAAAAATTAGATTGCCTTTAAAAGTACCATTGAGGTTTTGGAATTTTCTCTATGTACTGACTTTTGAAGCTTTTAAATAGTGATATATGCATGTGTGTTCACTTTGAGTAAATTAAAGAATATTAATGCAGTAGGCAGGATTTGAGGAGCATTAGTGATATGATACTAAACTTGAAAGTAATGATTTCTAAGTGTTAAAATCTAAAAATAACATGTGGATCAGAAAAAATACTTATAAAGTCTCTTTAAAAAGACAAAGAAAATGCTAGACTAAAATAAGATTTGACTGAAGGAATATATATGTTTAAAGGAATATTACTCAATAAGAAGGGAATTAGATTACCAGTGGAAATTTGGAAAAATAATAGTGAAGTTTTATTTGGTAGTACCCATCTATTCATTGCTTGGGAAAATAGTTTGGTTTGGTATAAGGGTTCTACTTGACCAGGCTATTATTTTGGAGAATAATAAATAGAATAAAATATTTTATTATGTACTAACTTACCTTGTCCTGTGTTCATATTTACTAAGAACCAGCTTGGTATATATATAGTTTGGTTTCCATTCAGCTTGTCTCAAGGAAGTGAATGCTCTAAATGAAGGGCCCAGTCTGTATAGTAGTTGCACTTTTCCATGAAACTTTGTGAATTGCATTTTTCCCATTGATCTCATATAAAATTGGCAATTTGAATTTGTCTAACTAAACTTATTGAAAAAATTAACTGCTATCCTTTTAACTCTAAAGCTGAGTTAATGCTCAATACTACGGAAGCCTAAAACATCAAAACATTTGGGTCAGTGCTATAATTTAGTTTAGCCTCAAAGGCCCATGCATTGTTTGCATTTGTATGATTTATCAACCAGGTATTTTTGATCTTATAAAAAAAAAGAGACAGGCAAAACTAATGTAAATCCTTCCTTGATTTAGTAAGGAAAGAAACAGCCGAAATTTAACCAAAACTTTTGCACTTTTTCCTTAAAGTGATTTGGTACTTTAGATTTCAGAAGACAAGGAAGATTGCTGTATGTGTAGCCCGAAAATGAAAACAGACGTGTTTGAAAGTCTTATTAAATGACTCCAGTTTATTGAGGGGTTACTTTGTTCCAAGCACCGTGTGTTATTCTCATTACCTAGTTTAACAGGACAGCAGTTATTAAAGAACCAGAGTACCCTGTAATACTAAGATATTATTTGCTTTTGTGATTCTCATTCTGTTATAGGTTTGCTATGTAAATAGTTTTCCAAAGGCTACATAATATGTGATTCCAATAGATTGAATGTAGATGCAGATACGAGAATACAGTTATATTAAACCAATACTAAAGAGATTTGCAAAAATATTTATAGAACAATGCCACACTTTTCACTATTTTGGTTTTTGGAGACTATAATTAAAAAATTAAATATGCTATTTATTTTAAGTTGTTATATTTTTCCCCAACATTTTATTATAAAAAAGTTCAAACATATAGAAAAACTGAAAAAATTGTAGAGAGGATACCCAATACCCTCACCCTAGATTCTGTGATGCACATTTTCCTCTGCTTTATTCCTGATCTCTTTGCCTATCCATGCCCTATTCATTTATCAACCCATATCAATTTTTTGATGCCAGGGACCTGATTTGAACTGCTCCTAATGAGAAAATTTGATGGTACATCTTCTTCAAGCCTATAATAGCATAAAGGGACAAGACATCCCAGAAACTGGAGAAGTGTGTTTGTAATAAAAATTTAAATTGTAATTTTAAATGAATAAGTATATTTTTAAAAGATCAGTTTTTATTTTTAATATGATCAAACCCAATAGATATAAAATGCATAAGGGAAAAAATATGTGGAGTTCTCAATAATTTTTAAGAGTTAAAGGGGTCTTGAGACCAGAATATTTGAGAATTGCTGCTTTATAATAATTCCATAAAGATTGTATTAATGCATCCAAGGCTGAAAGGGCAAGAGGCACTGATATATTTAGTGATGTGGAAACTAAAATGTAGTGAAACTTCATAGATCGGTGTGTTAATAAAACACTGCAACGTTAATTAATGCACATTAGAGCATAACTTTATATTGTATTTATAAATCCATGTTTTAGAAAATAGGCACTGTTTTAAGTGCAATTTGGACCCTAAGGATAAACCACTGTTACTGAATGGTATGTTTAAACTTTTGAAAGACCTGAATGACTGTGTAAAAATAAATACTAGAAAGCAAAGCTTATAGCTTCTTTACTATACGTAAATGAAATGAGACTTCTCGCCCCACAGTTATAATTAAAGAATCAAAGAACCCAGCTTATATCAAAATCGTACACCTGGGCTATGGAAATTAGATTTATAGGACAATTAGCTACACTTGTAGGATAACTTTGAAATTGCTTTTGTTATGTGCTGGTTATTTTTCTATTAAAGTGATCTTGTATTATATAAATTGCACTTTGGGACATAAGTGCAGTAGTAATTTTACTTGCTGAGAAACCATATGCCAGTACACTAGGTTTACACAGAAAACCTAACAGTCAACACATTTTAACAGATGTTATACAGCCGTAGCTTCTCTTATGTTTAAGAATTAAAGAAAAAATTAGGATCTTCTTATTCTTCATCAAACTATTAGACAAATTTAGTTTGGTATGTTATAGTGATATATTTAAATTTTTATTGTTAAAATTATTTAAACAAATACCGAAGTTGTATTTAGAATTCTGAAATAATTGAAAAATACACATGCTTTTTGGTAATCTAAAAATAAGATATAATTTTTTTTTTGATTAGCTCATCTTTGTGGAGAAGGATGGAATCATATTGGGGATGCTTGTCTTAGAATTAATTCCAGTAGAGAAAACTATGACAATGCAAAACTTTATTGCTATAATCTTAGTGGAAATCTTGCTTCATTAACAACCTCGAAAGAAGTAGAATTTGTACTGGATGAAATACAGAAGTATACGCAACAGGTAACAACTATACTTGTTTTTATTATGGAAATATGCTGATAATCCTGTAACCATTGGCAATGGTTCATTCTTTTTGTTTTTTTAATACATTATTTTTACTAAATCGTCGAAGTAAAAGTAGAACTGATTTCTTTGGTAATAAAGTTTTCTAAATTACTCATCTCATGTTTTGCTCAGTAAACCATCGCATTATCTTACCAAGAAGACATCTCATATGAATAAATATACTTTAAATATACTTTAAAACTTGTGCATATAATTTAAGAATTTGTTTTGAAGTGTAATAATTTTGGGATGTCCCTTATAATAGAACACTAGACCAACACATTGGCTATATTTGTATATATGTATCTTTGTGTGTGTGTTCTGTGGGTTAAGTTTTTGAATTATACTATTTTCCTAGGTATAGATTTGCTTGAAATAATATACAAATAGCAGGACTTAAACTGATTTTTAAAGTACATGGGAGATTTGGAACATAAGCATTTGGGAACAGTTTCAATTTCCTAGAGAGTTGGTCCATAGAAAATGGAATATTTCCTTGGAAATAATGTCAAATATCATTTTATAAGAAATTTTTAATAGGAACTCACAGTATTTTCTGTTCTTGGGATGTTAAAATACAGTCAACTCTTAAGAACAGATTAATTTGGAGATTTGGAAATAATTTACTAAATATTGTTTTGAAATATCTTATTTAGATACTTACTTGAAATGTCTTGAGGACATTTTTAAAAATTGAGGTATATTTGACATGTTGTTTCAGGTAGACAACATAATGATTTTATATTTGTAATATTGTGATATATACTGTTTTTGGATTTTTTTTTTTAGGTTCCACATGTAAGTGAGATCATTTTCTTTCTCTGTCTGACTCATTTCACTTAGCATAATGCTCTCAAGAGCCATCCGTGTTGTCGCAAATGGCAAGTACCCTGTGATCTCACTTCTGTGTTGAATTTAAAACAAAGAAACAAGAATACACATGAAAAAACAAAAAACCAAGCTCAAAGATACAAAGAACAGATTGGTAGTTGTCAGAGGCAAGGGTGGAGGGTGGGCAAAATGGGTGAAGGGGGTCAAAAGGTACAGACTTACAGTTATAAAATAAACAAGCCATGGGGCTGCAATTCATGGCATGGTGACTATAGGTAATAATACTGTATTATGTATTTGAAAGGTGCTAGGAGAGTGGATCTTAAAAATCCTCATCACAAGAAAACTGTGTATGGTGACAGATGTTAAGTAGACTTATGTGGTGATCATTCCACAATATATACAAATATTGAATCATTATTTTGTATACCTGAAACTAATACAATGTTATATGTCAATCATACGTCAATTAAAAAAGAAAAAATATAGTCAACTCTTAAGTTGTAGGAGATTTAGAAATAATTTACTAAATCTAATTTAAAATACCTTATTTAGTTCGTATACATACTTGAAATATACTAAGATAATATAAACTCTCATAGCATCATTGAAGATTTTTGTATTTTGTGTCAAAATAAAATTAGAACTCAATATAGATCAGGTAAGTGATAAAGTTAAACAATAATAAATACCTCAGATCTGAGGCGTGTACAAGATTTGGCCAATGTTTAAGATACACACACACACACATAGACACCCTGTGGTAAATAATCCACAAAGTGGCATGATTTCTATACAAATAATGGAGATATGGCTATAATTCAACTATTGCTTTGAAAACTATATTAGATCTCAATGACTTTTTTTGACCTTAGGTTATGGCTTTTATTGGACAAGGGTCTGTTGGTGCTACAGAGCTCCACTCTGCAGTGCAGTGGATATGGTTTTGGCTTGAAAACTTTTCAGAGCAAAGATTACCAATTGCTTGCTATTGAAACAGTTAAGTAATACTTCCTTGGTATAGCTGATTTTTAAGCAGCGTCGAGGACAGCGAATCAAAATGATGGAGAGCATGCAGTCTGGACATACTGCTTATCTCCACAGCTTAGTAGCAAGTTAACCTCCCCAGCTTATGTTCCTCATCTGTAAACTGGGATAGTAATCATAGCTATCTTATATGTTTATTGTGAGAAATAAATGAGGTATTGTATGTGAAGAGCATAGATACATTTTATTTCTTAGTGTTTACTAAAGTTATTATTACTGTTTGCATTTTAAAGATTATTTTTGTATGTCCGTTTCCACTACTGCTGTAACTACTATTTCCAAGAATCATTAATTAGATAATGAAATCTTAAGTAACTAAATGAATTTATTCGATGAATAGTTAAGAATATTGATATTGACTGTAGAAAAATATTTACCCCAGACTAGTGTTTTAATTTTTCCACTTTACAAAGCCTTACTCCACTCACCCCCACTAATTATACCTTTTCCTTCTTAAGATCATTTCTGATTTATGCTAAAGAATAGGAATATATGTTACTGATTTTCCTTTTGCTAATAACAGGGGAACAAGCATCTGATTTTTAAAAAGTGATATAAGAACAGTTTTGTATAAATGTTAAAAAATTAGAGGGACTTAAACACATACTCTTTTCAAATCTTTGTATGAACATTCAGTTCATTATTACTGCCTGCCATCATTTTTGTGGTGGTATTAGTGTGTGTATTTCTCATGAGTATCGATACAGATAATTTAATTTCTAATGCCATTTTATATCTGTAGAGTCAAAGCCCTCCCTCCATTAATAAAATTGATAAATTTATTATACCCCCAGTTTTTATAAATATTCAGTAATTTTACGTGGATATCACATTGTGATACTTGGCTGTCAAACATTTGTTATATGCTTGATATTAATAGGGAGAAGAAAAACTATAATAATTAAATTTGTATGAAAAATTGATCTGTAAAACCATTTTTGTGTGAACTGAAGCTATATTTCTGGGAAGGATGGGCTAATCTTCATTCATTTAGTACAAATTTATTGAGCACCTTCATTGTACTTGGCAGTCTACTGCTTGCTGAGAATATAGAGATCAAAAACAATCACTGTTGTTAAAGAGCTTATGGGGGAGAAATACAAACACAGTTATACCAAAGTGTGATAATTGCAATGATAGATGCACGCAGGGTGATATATGAAGGTAGAGGATGGATACCTGAACAGTAACGTGGACTTATGGAGTTTCCTAGAGTAATGCTGTAGTTAATTATTGCAGGACTTTGAGTTGGCCAGCGCATGAAGATATTTGTAAGGAGGTCAGAGAAGTGCCTCTGTTTTTTCTCTTAATTTGCCTTGTTTGAGAGCTGCCAGCCTTATGGTTGAGGATAAGATGCGAGTGGTGTCATCTAGGAGAGATCTATTGATTTTTAAAAAATATTTTAGAAAATATTGACAGGGTATTATTTGTAAAGTTTTATTTTTAGTCATATGGAGCATACAGCATAATTTAAGATCTGTTTATATTCTTGTACTACCAAGAGCTTCATTTCTTTAATTACAAAATTGAGATTCAGTTATCAATGAACATTTGGAAATTAGTTCTACTGAATATGTATAACTTATAAAGAGCATCTTATTGGTAGATCCACATTCTTTGAGTTTTAGAAAGCACTAGTGTTTGGCATTTGAGCTCTATTGCTTTTTTCCTTGTTTAAAATACATTATTTTTAGTTTTTACATTTTAACCTTGAAATATGCTATTTTAGAAGTTTCATGTTTCAAGATTTCTTACGTAAGTTGCTCATTTTTTCTTGCTTATGATTATACAGTAGGTCCTTATTAGTTATCTGTTTTATATATAGTAGTGTGTATATGCTTATGACTATAAGTCATAAAGGTTAGACCAACAATTATTTCGGATGTATGATGAACTTAGATTCAGTAGTTTGTGGCATAGCCTGCCCTGTAAATGAAGAATGTTTTATTTCACTAGAAATATGAGCTTTAGCAAAATTTCAAAGGTGGAATTTTCTGCAAGGTGACGTTCCACTAAGCATATCTTTATATAAAATGAATTACATCCTGAGTCATTGCAGTTGTATAGACTTAAGGTAACCCTTCTGTAGCAAATAAAGATTGACAAATCCATGCACTTTAAACAGGTATCCTGGATCAAATGATCATTTACTTATCAGAACTGGCTAATGAAATGTTGCAATGATTTATGGTGTGCTGCAGTAAATTTTCATAATATAGTAATTTATCTTTCATTCTTCAACTGCCTGTCCAGTTCATTTACTGCGTAATAGTTACTTTAAATGTTTTATCAACTGCTTATTTTTCTGTTCCTCTCCTCTTCCTTGCAGATTCTTATCATGATGATTTAGAGAATAATATTTCATTTTAAATGACTTGTTTTTACTATAGAGAGTTTGGAAATACAGAGTTGCTGTAATGTGAAGCACAGTCATTAATCTGAAATAGCTATGTTGGATTGATTCCTGCTGTTATTATCAAGAACTATAAAAATGTTATAGCTTTTTTGTTTTCAAAATATCTTTGAGAATAAGTATGAAATATATGATGATCACAAGGCAAAGCAGCATGTGTATTTTTATAATTAGAAACATTATTTATTAAGCACTATCTCTGTCTCAGGAATTGGATGTTGGAAAATAAGCATCTCTGTTCTAATGGCCTTGCTTAGCAAAATTTGTTGACTACCTACTATGTGTACAGTACTCTACTAGGTGATATGAGATCTACTGTTATAATGAATATTCGTAATATTTTAATTTCATTTAAGAAATATTTGTTGAGTATTTTCTGTGTGAAAATTGTTATATTTATACACGATAAATTTCTAGGTCTACGGGTTCTTTATAAGCTCTCTAGGACCATTTGTACCACATATTTAGAATAAATACTGGATTTATATATCTTATTTCTATATTGTTAAAGACTCAAGTGGAGGGACATATTTTTCTCTATCCTGACAGTCAGTAATCTAAAAAAAAAAAAAAGATTATGTGGAGTTTTGAAACTACTTCACATTATAATATTATTAGCTTGGTAACTGAGAACATAAATTATTATTATGTATATTTAAGGTAGAAATGTTTAGGAATGATGTCAGCAAGGTGATAGAATGGGAGTTTGCAGCACTCATTCCCTCACAGAAACATTGATTTGAACAATCATCCATATACAGAATACCTTTACAAAAGCTAAGGAGTCCAGGTAAGAGATTATAGCACCGGGTTGGGGGTGGTGGGGGGAACACAGGAATAAGAAAACACTCATTGAAGATGGTAGAAAGGACAGTTTCACATTACCTGCATCATCCTTCCCCTAAGCCTGCACGGTACAGGAAGCGCGGTGAGAAAGGGTGAGAAATACCCTCTGCAAAGGGGAAGGAGAATGAAATGAGCACCGATTTTGCTTTGGACCCTACTTCCAGGCCTGCTCTAGTGAACCCCGGTGCCTGGATGATCCCTGTGGACCCAGGCGCCAGGCATATCCCAGTGCCACACTGGCTCCTGTGGCCTCAGGCTGCAGGCTGGCACCCGCAGACTCAGCCTCCAGGCTAGTCCCCCATATCCCTAGGAAACAGGAGACCTAGGATCCATACCCTCTCCATTAGACCCCAGCACTGGGCTGGTCTCTAGAGACCCGGGGTCAGGCTCATCCCAGTGGACTCAGGCTTCAGGCCCTCCCCTATGATCCCAGGTACCAGGCCCACCCCCATGGACTTAGGCGTCAGAAGACTCAGGACCAGGCTTGCCCCAGTGGACCCTGGTACCAGGCTAGCCCCTGCAGCCTCATGACCATACTTGATGGCCCAGGTGCCCGGCTGGCCCCAGCACCAGTCCATAGGATTCAGGCTCATGGCCTGATCCAGTGCCAGGTAAGCCCTGTGGATCCATGCTCCTGGGTGGCTCCCACAGTTCCAGGCTCCAAACTGGCCCATGGACCAGGCTGCAGGCCTGCCACAGTGGACCAGGTTCCAGGCTCACCACTTTGTACTCAGTTACCAGTCCTACCCCAGTGGATCCTTGTGCCAGACTGGCCCTTCAGACCTAGGATCCAGGCCTGCACCCACAGACTCAGGCTCCGGGCTTGCCCTCGTGGAAAAGAGAAAGCGGCAGAAAGCTCATTTAAAGGAATAATTATAGGAAACTTCCCAAATATGGAGGGGGAAAAGAACATCCAGATCCATAAATCCCAAAGAACCTCAAATAGATTAAACATAACGAGGCTTTCACCAAGACACATTATAATAACCCCAAATAAATCCAAGCATTTATGATCAATTGATGTTTGACAGAGGTGCCAAGAACACACGATGGGAAAAGGACAACCTCTTCAATGAATAATGCTGGCTATCCTTATGCAGAAGAATGGAAGTAGATCCTTATCTTACACCATATTAAAAAATCAATTCAAAATGGATTAAAGACTTACACACATTAAGACTCGAAACTGTAAAACTACAAGGGGAAAACACAAGAAAAAATCTCAACATTGGTCAGGGCAATGATTTTTTGGATGTGACCCCAAAAGCAGACAACAAGAGCAAATATAGATAAATGAGATTGTGTCAAACTAGTAAGATTCTGCATAGCAAAGGAGATAATCAAGAGTGAAGAGACAGGGCTTCCCTGGTGGCACAGTGGTTAAGAATCTGCCTGCCAATGCAGGGGACACGGGTTCGAGCCCTGGTCCGGGAAGATCCCACATGCCACGGAGCAACTAAGCCCATGCACCATAACTACTGAGCCTGCGCTCTAGAGCTCATGAGCCACAACAACTGAGCTCACGTACCGCAACTACTGAAGCCCGCATGCTTAGAGCCCATGCTCCGCAGCAAGAGAAGCCACCGCAATGAGAAGCCCGCACACTGCAATGAAGAGTAGCCCCTGCTAGCTGCAACTAGAGCAAGCCTACTCACAGCAACGAAGACCCAACATAGCCAAAAATAGATTAAAAAAAAAAAAAAAAGAGTGAAGAGACAACCTATGGAATGGGAGAGAATGTAAACCATACATCTAATAAAGATTTAATGTCCAAAATATATAAAGAACTCAAATAATTCAACAGAAAATAAATAACCCAGTTAAAAAATGGGCAAAGGACATAGAAATTTTTCAAAGAAGTCATAAAAGTGGCCAGCCAGATATATGATGAAAAGCTCAACAGCAGTGATCATCAGAAAAATGCAAATCAAAACCAGTTGAGATATCACCTCACACCTGTTAGAATGGCTGTTATCAAAAAGATAAGAGGTCGGCTTCCCTGGTGGCACAGTGGTTGAGAGTCTGCCTGCCGATGCAGGGGACACGGGTTCGTGCCCCGGTCCGGGAGGATCCCACGTGCCGCAGAGCGGCTGGGCCCGTGAGCCGTGGCCGCTGAGCCTGCGCGTCCCGAGCCTGTGCTCCGCAATGGGAGAGGCCACAACAGTGAGAGGCCCGCGTGCTGCAAAAAAAAGTAGCATATATTGGCAAAGATGAGGAGAACAGGAACTCTTGTATACTGTTGGTGGGAATGTAAGCAGTATAGTCAATTTGGAAAATGGTGTGGAGTTTCCTCAAAAAATGAAAACTATCATATGACCCAGCAGTCCCATGTCTAGGTGTATATCCAAAGGAAATTAAGTCAGTATCTTGAAGAGATATCTGCACTTCTATGTTCATTGCAGCATTATTCACAATAGCCAAGCTATGGACACAACTTAAGTGTCCATCAACGGATACATGGATGTATAAAGAAAAAATATATATACATATGGGTATGTTAATTAGCTTGATTGTGATAATCATTTCATAACGTGTACATATACCAAAAAAAAATCATACACCTTATATAGGTATAATTTTCGTTTGTCAATTATACCTCAAGAAAGCTAGAAAAAATCTCAAAAAGAAAAGCATAACTCTAAAGCAGAAACAAGGAAAGAAAAAGAGGTGTTCATAATCTAAAAAATTTTGTAAAGAGAGTACCTTGGACCAAGAATATATCATTATTTTTTCAGTCTCATTAGAATAATATATTTTAAAATTGAGTAATGATTAAAATAAGGTATATAAATACAGCATATATTTTGTTTTTAAGCGACTTTTGAAATATTATTGAGAGCACTATGAAAGTTTAGTTTGATGGCATTTGTCAACCTCTGTTAATTAAATTTAGGCATCAGTGTCAAAGATTTTATTAGTTTTCTTGATTTCTTTAGTAATGAAAGTAGATGACATTAATTTATCTAAAACTGCACTGAAGTCCTTGTGTACTAGTAGAGGTCTGAACTAGGAGACAGGCCCTTCTTCCTAGTCCTTTGTGAACCTGTTGTGAAGTCCTCACTCAGCCTTTATATACTGTTCATTGATTTTGTTTTCTGTTTTCTCACAGTGCATAAAATGTCAATTTAGCTTTAGATTCTCAACTCCACAATTGATTAGATTGGTAGTAACAGTAGTAATAGTAGCTGCAGCAGAAGTAGCAGTAACAGTAGCAGCAACACAATATGTTAAGTTTTTTTAAATGATCTTCCCTCATAAGATAGGTATTTACATCAGATATCACCATTTTATAGAAGAGGAAACTGAGGTTCATGAGAGCTAAAGAAATGACCCCAGTCATGTCACTAAACACAAAATATGTTTTAAACATAGTGTTCTATTATACATCATTCTCCAAGATGTGCTGGAATTGTTAATTATCCTTAGTACTCCAAGTCCTTAGAAAGGCAGTTCTATATATTTTCAAATGTAATTTTTAATGATAATGAACTGTTTACTAAGGAATATGATGCAGGATTTTTACATCTCACTTTTTAAAAATGTCCCTTTTGCTATTGTTTACAGAAAGTATCACCTTGGGTAGGCTTACGCAAGATCAATATATCCTACTGGGGATGGGAAGACATGTCACCATTTACAAACACAACACTACAGTGGCTTCCTGGTGAACCCAATGATTCTGGGTTCTGTGCGTATCTAGAAAGGGCAGCAGTGGCAGGCTTAAAAGCTAATCCTTGTACCTCTATGGCAGATGGTCTTGTCTGTGAAAAACCTGTTGGTAAGTAGTCCAGTAAACTAGTATTCTTTAAAAATATGTTTCCAACCCTTCTTCCCACTACCCTCTTCCATGGTGTGATGCTATGTAGGCCTGAAGTAACTTTCACCATCTTTTTATGATGCTGCTTTCAATGTATATTTTATCTTTATTCACATCCCCCACTTACTATTAGTGACCTCAGCCTTAACTTATGAAAATATCAAAATTGTATTGTTTTATACAATCTTTATTTCTTGGTTAAAATAGTGAGATTATGAACATATGGTTGTAGTTACAGTATAGTAATAATCTGTTCTTAATATTTTAATGTGTTTTACTTTTATAATAATAGTCTTTGTAAGAAAGATTTATCATTAGTATCAACAACTAATTTAGAATCATTTTAATCTTACAGATCTATTATTTCAGTTGGCAAATGAAGAGAAACATTGCTGTTCCATCTTTTGAAATGGGTTTTTGTTAAGTGAGAAAGGAATATTGAATTCTTTTCTCTTTTTTTAAATACTATATTTTGTATTGCAGAAGAATATACATAACATAAAATTTATAATTTTAACCATTTTTCCCTTCAGTATTTTTGAGATATAATTGACTTTTTAAAACATTTTTTAAGTATAGAGTTCACTGTCATTAAGCATATCCACATTGTTGTTAATCTATCAACACTATCCATCTCCAGAACTTTTTCATCTTCCCAAACTGAAACTCCATATCCATTACACAGTAACTCCCCACTCATCCCTCCTCCAGCCCCTGACAGCCACCTTCTACTTCCTGTCTCTATGAGTTTGACTGCTCTAAGTATCTCATATAAGTGGAATCATAAGGTGTTTGTCCATTTGTGACTGGCTTATTTCTCTTAGCATAATGTCTTCCAAGTTCACCCATGTTGTAACATATGTCAGAATTTCATTCCTGTTTAAACATGAATAATTATCCATTGTATGTATATACCACATTTTGTTTATCCATTCATATATTGGTGGACACTTGTTGCTTCCACCTACTGACTGTTGTGAATAATGATGCTATGAACGTGGGTGTACAAATATCTGTTCCAGTTCCTGCTTTCATGTCTTCTAGGTACGTAGCCAGAAGTGGAATTGCTGTATCATATGGTAATTCTGTGTTTAATTTTTTGAGGAATTGCCATACTGTTTGCTATGGAAGCCTCACCATTTTAACATTTCCACAAGTAGTGTACAAGCTTCCAATTTCTCCACATCCTTGCCAACATTTAAAAAAATAGTCATCCTAATGGGTGTGATAAATATTACATTTTATGTAAAAATTTTATAGTAAACTGTTTTATTTTTGTTTGTTGCTTTGATAAAGTGTGGAATGTTTATAGAATTATGGCTAGCTAGAAAAGTAAATAATGTTAGTGTACATAATATTTAGCCAATGGATAGAAAAACCTAGGTCATGTATTACATTTCTATTAAAAAATTTTAAATTATACAATTTTATGTACGTTGTAAACGATTAAAAATTTCCAAGGTATTATAAATTTCAAATTAGATAATAAATTTAAGAAGTATTGACATGTCATCTTCATTCTCATTTACCTTATCATACAATTTTAACTCTAATTTTTATCCCACACTTGGCTTAATTGAAACATTCCCTAAACAACAAAATGAACGAAACTCGTATACTTGTGTTAGAAAGCAGTTAACAAATAAAATAATTATATTTGCTGATTTATTCCAGTCAGTCCAAATCAAAATGCAAGGCCTTGCAAAAAGCCATGTTCTTTAAGGACGTCGTGTTCCAACTGTACCAGCAACGGAATGGAGTGTATGTGGTGCAGCAGCACGAAGCGATGCGTTGACTCGAATGCCTACATAATCTCTTTTCCATATGGACAGTGTCTGGAGTGGCAGACTGCCACCTGCTCTCGTAAGTATTTCTCTAGAGTCCCTTTTTGTTTAACTGCAACATAAATCACTTTTCTGTGATGGACAGAGAAATTGAACATTTGAGGAAGTTTAAAAAATGAGAAAAAATATTGTCACTAGTTATAATTAAAAATTGCTAGTTACAAGTAAAAGCTAGTTTTAAAACTTCTTAATGCTGTAACCCTGATTTACATTATACCATCATTTTGAATTCCCCTGAGTCTATTACCCTGCTATGAGCATTTTGCCACATTTGTGTTCCCCTGAACTCTGAGCGTGTGTTGAAAACAGAGTAACACTTCATGAAAGTGCTCACTTCAGAAGGATCGCATTGCTTCGTTGTGCTTCTTTAGTGTCCTTTAATCTAGCACAGTTCCTGTGTCGTCTTTTTTTATAACTGTGATTTTTTTTTTTTAAAGAACCTACACCAGTTGTTTTGTAGGTTTTCCAACTTGGATTTGTCTAATTGTTTCCTCATGATTAGATTAAAAGTTAAGTAGTTTTTTGGCAAGGATATATCAGTGGTGGTATATTTGCTGCAATTGCAAGATGTATAATCTTGGCGTCACATGGGAAGTTGTGTCATCAGGCCAGTACTGAGCTTACTGTGGGTTGTGCTTCGGGGGAAGACCCTGCCTCTTGCTGGTCTCATGTTTTATAAGGACTATAGAATGAGGAAGCACCTGACAGTCTGTGTTACTAGGTACTGTGTAGTTATGAGGCAGCATGGTCATCCAGTTATAAGCCCTTCTTGCTCAGATGAGTGCCCTCGTTTAGAGGCAGCTGTTTAAGCCAATACAGGTGGAGACTAACTGTCTCTTCCAGACCTTACATTACTCCCAGGGAGGATGTTTCCTTCCCCTAGGGACCCAACCAAATCCATATTTGTTCCATGTCGGGCACCAGTGTTGCTTGAAGAGCTGGGACAAAGTGGTAATTGCCACAGTGTAGGCTAGAACTTGCAGGCTGTAGCTGTTGTGTGCATTTATTCTTCCAGGCTCTTGGCATCAAGTGGAGAGGTGTTCCTGGGATGGGTATGGCTGGACCTGTTATGGGTTGAGCTCCCTGTTGCTATCCCATTTTAGGAATTTTGATAAGGAATGGGGACGTACGTGATCAAGTGTGTGACAAGGGGGTGTTGCAGGCATAAAATGGTCTTGCTAGCACGGAAAACATCTTATAACTAGGAGCCAGCTGCTGAGGAAGGTTGAAATACCAGTCCTGGAGACTTGTGGGGAGTTGAGACATTGCTCAGCTTCTCCTGCCTTGATTGTTGTGTTTGTTTCACAAAAGATTATATACGTATGACCCATTTAGATAAAGTTGAAAATAGGCACAACTATGCTATATTGTTTAGGAATGAATTTTTTAGGTAGAACTGTAGGGTAAGGTAAAAAGTTATTCTTATAAATGTCAGATAGTGGATGCTGCTGGAAAAGATTAGTGGTGCTGGTTAGGAAAAGGGTACAAAGGAGGCAATGTTCTGCTTCTAGGCTGCATGCAGGTACAGAGTATTCATTTAAAATAATTTATTAGTATCACATTTTTCTTTATGTACTTCTATGTATGTGTGCTATATTTCACAATACAAAAAGGCTAAAAGGTAGGGAAAAAGGAACTTGGAAAGTCTCCAAGCTCTTAAACTTTTAAGAACTTTCTAAAAATTATTTAGAGTTAAGTCTAAGTTGTCTTCTCCATTCACAAATCTTTCTTATATTCCATTCTTTTCATTTGTTCATCTTCTGGAACATAGTCTTCAGTAATTCTTTCCAAATAAATGTGTGACTAGTAAACTTTTTGAGTCTTTGCATGTCTAAAAGTGTATTTTTCATGTTCACTTGAATGATTAAATGCCTGGGTGTGGAGTTCTAAATAAGTTGTTTCCTTAGAAGGTCTAGCATTCAGTGTTGTGGATAAGAATTTTCATGCCAATCTAATTTTCATTCTTTTGTGGGACATCTTTTTTTTTCCTTTCCTTGAGAGCTTTTAAGACTATTCTCTTTATCCTTGGTATTCAAAAATTTGCAGTTTATTTGAATTCAGTTTTACAGTAGTTGATGTGGATTTCAAAAATGGATTCTCGTTCGCTCTTAATTTGGAGAGTAGTTTTCCGTCATCTGCTAAAAATGTTCCTTAATGTCAAATTATTTGTTTTCTTCTATTTACTCTTATTGGAAGTCTTAAAATAGTCATTGGAATTTGTGGATATATATCAATATCTCTTGTTTTTGCCTTTTTTTATTGGAGTATAGTTGATTTACAATATTGTGTTAGTTTCAGGTATATAGCAAAGTGATTCAGTTATATATATATATACATATATATATTCTTTTTTTATATTATTTTCCATTATAGTTTATTATAAGATATTGAATATAGTTCCCTGTGCTGTATAGTAAATCCTTGTTGCTTATCTATTTTATGTATAGTAGTTTGTATCTGTTAATCCCATACTCCTAATTTATTTCCCCCCACCCCCTCCTTTCCTCTTTGGTAACCGTAAGTTTGTTTTCTATGTCTGTGATTCTGTTTCGTATATAGATTCGTTTTTTTTAGATTCTACATATAAGTGATATCATATAATATTTGTCTTTCTCTGTCTGACTTAATATGATAATCTCTAGGTCCTTCCATGTTGCTGCATATGGCAATATTTCGTTCGTTATTTATGACACCACATCTTCTTAAGCCAGTCATCCAGTCATCTCTTTATGGGCACTTGGGTTTTTTCCATGTCTTAGCTGTTGTAAATAGTGTTGCTATGAACATTGGAATGCATGTATCTTTTCAGATTAGTATTTTTGTCTTTTCTGAGTATATGCCCAGGAGTGGGATTGCTGGATCATATGGTAGCTCTGTTTTTAGTTTTTAAGGAACCTCCATACTGTTTTCCATAGTGGCTGCACCAATTTACATTCCCGTCAACAGTGTAGGAGGGTTTCCTTTTCTCCACTCCCTCTCCAGCATTTATTATTTGTAGACTTTTTGATGATAACCTTTCTGACTGGTGTGAGGTAATACCTCATTGTGGCTTTGACTTGCATTTCTCTGATGATTAGTGATGTTGAGTATCTTTTCATGTGCCTTTTGGCCATCTCTGTGTCTTCTTTGGAGAGATGTCTATTTAGGTCTTATGCCCATTTTTTGATTGCGTTGTTTGTTTTTTTGTTATTGAGTGGTATGAGTTGTCTGTATATTTTAGATATTAACCCCTTGTTGGTCACATTGTTTGCACATATTTTCTCCCATTCCATAGGTTGTCTTTTCATTTTGTCGATGATTTCCTTTGCTGGGCAAAAGCTTTTAAGTTTGACTAGGTCCTATTTGTTTATTTTTGCTTTTAATTCTTTTGCGCTGGGGGACTGACCTAAGAAAACATTGATATGATTTATGTCAGAGAATGTTTTGCCTATGTTCTCTTCTAGAAGTTTTATGGTGTCATGTTTATCTTTAGGTTTTTAAACCATTTTGAGTTTATTTTTATATGTGATGTGAGGGATTTTTCTAATTTCATGGATTTACATGTAGCTGTTCGGCTTTCCCAGCACCACTTGTTGAAGGGACTGTCTTTTCTCCATTGTGTATTCTTGACTCCTTTGTCGTAGATTAGTTGGCTGTAGGTGTGTGAATTTATTTCTGGGCTCTCTATTCTGTTCCATTGATCCATATGTCTGTTTTTGTGCCAGTACCATGCTGTTTTGATTACTGTAGCTTTGTAGTATTGTCTGAAGTCTGAGAAGGTCATGCTTCCAGCTTTGTTCTTTTTCCTCAGGATTGCTTTGGCAATTCTGGATCTTTTGTGGTTCAGTATGAATTTTAAGATAATCTGTTCTAGTTCTGTTAAAAATGCCATGCATATTTTGATAGGGATTGCATTAAATCTATAGATTGGTTTGGGTGGTGTGGTCATTTTAACAATATTAATTCTTCCAGTCTAAGGACATGGGATATCTTTTCACTTCTTTGAATCATCTTCAGTTTCCTTTTCAGTGTTCTGTAGTTTTCAGTGTATAGGTCTTTCACCTCCTTGGTTAAGTTTATTCCTAGGTATTTTAGTTTTTTGATGTGATTTTAAACAAGATTGTTTTTTCACTTTCACTTTCTGATATTTCATTGTTAGTGTAAAGAAATGCAACAGATTTCTATATGTTAATCTTGTATCCTGCTTCCTTGCTGAATTCATTTATTAATTCTAATAGTCTTTGTATGGAGTCTTTAGGGTTCTCTCTATATATAGCATATACTGTCATCTGCAAATAATGACAGTTTTATGTCTTTCTTTCCAATTCTTGTCTGATTGCTGTGGCTAGGGCTTCTAGTACTATGTTGAGTAGAAGTGGTGAAAGTGAGCATACTTGTCTTGTTCCTGAATTTAGTGAGAAGGCTTTCATCTTTTCAGCATTGAATATTATATTATTGAATATTATTTTGGCTTTTGTTTGTTGTAAATGGCTTTTATTATGTTGGGATATGTTCTTTCTATACCCAGTTTAGTGAGAGTCTTTATCATGAATTGATGTTGAATTTTATCAAATGCTTTTTCTGCGTGTAATGAAATGATCATGTGGTTTTTGTCTTTCCTTTTGTTGATCGGGTGTATCACATTGATTGACTTGTGTATGTTGAACCATCCTTGCCACCCTGGAAAGAATCCAACTTGATCATGGTGTATGATTCATTTTATGTATTGTTTGATTCAGTTTTCTATTTTTTTGAGGATTTTCTCATCTATAGTCATCAAAGATATTGGCCTGTAATTTTCTTTTTTTGTAATGTCTTTGTCTGGTTTTGGTATCAGAGTGATGGTGGCTTCATAGAATGACTTTGGGAGTGTCCCTTCCCTTCATTCTTTTGGAGTGGTTTGAGGAGGATGGGTATAAATTCTTCTTTGAATGTTTGGTAGACTTCCCCAGTGAAGCTGTCTGGTGCTGGACTTTAGTTTGCAGGGAGTTTTTGTTTTGTTTTGTTTTTACAGATTCTCTTTTACTTCTAGTGATCAGT